ATATATATATATATATACATACATACAATATACATATATATATACATAAAATGTACACATATGTATATTAAAGGCAGAAAGAGAAATAGGTAAAAAATTAAGAACAGTAATAAGTTACATTAGCATAAATCGGGTGACCGAATTATCTGAACCTTACAAAATTACAATCAAAAATTCGAATTTGCAACTTTAACTTCATAGATTAATTTGTTTTAAAATTAAAACTAAATTTTAAAAAATAAATTATTTGCCTGTACATTATTCCTCTCTCATTTAACAGTAATTTTTTTTTTTGATTCTGCTTTACTGTTGTTTTTTTATTATTTAATTATTCTGTTCTCCTTGACATTTAAAACCAAGAATCTTCCCATTGGTCAGCAACAGGAACGTATATTTCCTCTATGGGAAGGGAGAGCACAATAAAATTATCTATTTTTTTAATTGTACATTTACTTACACACATATTGAGTGTAGTCTTCTAAAGGGCTGTGTCTCATAATCTACAGTGTTTTCACTACAGCGCGAGAATCTCGCATATTTTTTTCTTTTCTCACAATAAAAAATGATTAACGCGAGAAGTTCGAGCACTCTATTAATCAATTTCAAAATGCGCGAATTTTGGCAAAAATTTCGTCTTTTGCCATTTTGAATAAAATCTGTTTCACTTTTCTTCCTTGATTTTTCATTATTTTGAACATCGGTCCTTGTTATCTAGCTTCCCTACTTACCAGTATTGTTCAGAACCAGTGCGAACCTTAGAGGACTTGGAATTACTCCTCTAAGGTGCAAACAGCAGAACACCAACCCCCCAAACCACGGAATCCCTTTCAGAATACATTTCTCAGCAACCACGTGTTCACTGTAGGTAAGGTTTCTTTATGTAAGACGTTTACATTTTTTGTGCATGAATGTAAGATGGACAAATACCTTGTTAAGGCAACATCTTCTACTCTGTAACGGACAAACAGGGTATCTGCTACATTTTAGATTTTCAAATTCATGACTTAACGAAGTTACTATTTTCTTCAACAAAAACACAACTATAAATTTAAAAAAGCATTATAATAACATTCTTTGAAATGATAGGTATAACCAAAAATGTTATAATCTGCATCCTCAAATTTACAGATTTTAAAATTAAAAAACAGAGTAAAGAAAGAGTTGAAGCAATAAAATAGCTGGAGGAAAAAAAAAAGCAAATTATTCTTTTCTTTCTTTTGCAGAATTACATTCTAAAGATACTTTTCTTGTTCATCCGAAAGAAATACTCCTGATTTTTCTGTTCTTATTTCGGAATAAAAAAATTCGCCAATTACTGGCTTGCTTCAGCTAAAATTTTAAATTTATAAAATAAAAAAATAATAACAAAAATTCTGCAATCACAGAAGTTTAAAAGATAAATCGCTCTAGAAAGGATGCTTTTTCTTTCATTTTTTGAAAGAACACCATCATTTTTAAAAAACACGATAAAAACATTTTATATTTTAATCAAATATGACTGTGAGAGGGGATTTTGTTATAAATTCAGATATTCGGAACACCATGAAATTGGGGGGCGGGGGTAAATTCTATTTTAAAAATTAGATTTTTCGGCTGATCCATGACTTTTCATGATTTTTTTTTCAAAAATAGTTAAAATCATGACATTTCATGACAAATTTTGTTCAATACTGAAATCCATGACTTTCCATGGTGTGCGGATAGCGCGGACAAATGAAAATGAAACAAATGTCGGTAGAAACGGTCAAAACGAAACAAATACGGATATTTTTCAGCCAAATAAATTAAATAGCTGATTTAAAAGTAGATATAGAACACCTTGCATNTTTTAATCAAATATGACTGTGAGAGGGGATTTTGTTATAAATTCAGATATTCGGAACACCATGAAATTGGGGGGCGGGGGTAAATTCTATTTTAAAAATTAGATTTTTCGGCGACCTAAATCCATGACTTTTCATGATTTTTTTTTAAAAAAAAATAGTTAAAATCATGACATTTCATGACAAATTTAGTTCAATACTGAAATCCATGACTTTCCATGGTGTGCGGATAGCGTGGACAAATGAAAATGAAACAAATGGAACAGTCAAAACGAAACAAATACGGATATTTTTCAGACAAATAAATTAAATAGCTGATTAAAAAGTAGATATAGAACACCTTGCATATGTTGATGCAGCAAAAATATTCAGTTAGAAGATGTTTAAAATGTATTATAATTAAAGAAATAATTTTTTTCCAAGTCTATTCCTGTTTTTTGAATTTTTAGAAATCTCACTTAACTTTTTGAAATCTCACACTGTTTTTGAGAAAGGGTGAGAAATTCTCTCCCATTTTTTTTCTGTAATGAAAACACTGTTCTATAAAATGTGAGGGCCCCCTTTGCTGCCCCCTTTCGTAGTATCCTACCTCCACTCCAAGCTTTCATCTGCTGTGATCAGGGGTCCGTCCAGACATTTCGTGAAAGATCCTGCTTTTGTAAAATTGTGAAAAAACTATTCATAATTTGTGAATATAAAATAAGCGTTAAGTCACATTCTTTCAACCAGGGTCCTGCTTTTGTGAATTTGTGCAAATGGGGTCCCGCTATTGCAAAAATTGCTAAAAACATTTCCAAGAAGTTTTTAAATTGTAAATAGATACAAGATTAACATTATTTATTTACAAAAAAAACAAAATTATAATTTAATATCAATAAGAATGTGCACACGATGTTTGAAGAAGTAGAAATATTTTCTTAGAATACTACATTTGGAATTTAAACTTAGGGAAACTTAGTTTGTCTTGAACGGTCTTTCTTCCCCCCCTCCCCGAAAGAGTTTATTCTATTAACAAAACAATAATGAAGATAAACAAATTTGTGAAAGGTCCGATTAAAAAGATAAATTATACTGTGAAGGGTCAGATTAAAAGACAAATTATTTCGTGAAGGGTTTGATTAAAAGATAAACTGTTTTGTGAAGGGTCCGTTAACGGACCCAAATTTCTTCTAAACAGATCCCTGGTGATAAATCAACTTATAAATTAAAGAACTTACCTTCCATCTGAAAGTTGTAAATCATGCAAGCTGGACAAAATATCTTTCCTGCAAACTCTCGATAAATCATCTCCAAGTATTACTAATGTAGATAATGCTGTGTACGTCATTGCAAGGTTAGCTTTATCACAAAAGTCAGAATTCTGCAATATTATGATTACAATTAATTCTGCAATATTAGAATAATGCAAATTTCCCATAAACCATCTCCGAGAATCAGGGGTCTGTTGCGGGCGAAATTACTGCCGTTTAGTGGTACTTTCACAAATTCAATTTTAGGAAAAACGGTAGTTTCACAAAATACTTTCAACATGTTTTTGAAAAATATTTAAATTTTTTTGAAAATATTTTCTTATTTTACCATATTTTTATGTTGATTATTTAATATAATTTTTATATTTCACAAATCATGTCTAAATTTTCACAAAATAAGTACCTTTAAAAAAAACCTAGACACACCCTGCTAATGTAGATAATGCTGTGTATGTTATTGCAAGGATATGTTATTTACCTTTGGTGATTAGTGTTAAAATATTTATTGTGTAATGTTAATTATTTGTATAACACTTAGAAAATGAAAACCAATGAATAAATAAAAAAAATTCTAATCGATTGTAGAATTAATGATTTGTGAGTTAAAGGGACAAAAGTCACATTCCAGAAAAATCATTTTATTAAACAAACTTTTTTTTTCCTTCAGTTTTTTGCACATTGCTGGACCAATAACAAAAGTTTTTAGAAATATGAATAATTTTTAAAACTCTCTGTATTTCCAAAACTAATAATCATACAAAGAAATGCATCATTTTGTAGAAAACGTAGTTTATTTTGTATATTCAATAACTTTTGCTAGAGTTCAAAACCTTAGAAGTAATTTATTTTTCGTTTCTGCTCTTTTTTATGGTTAAACTATTCTAACCTTGCAGAAAAATGGTTGGAATTTTACTTTTGAACATTTTGCGCACAATAAACAAAATTGTGTTAGAAAAATAAAACAAAGTTGTAAAAAGAAATGGTAATTATTCACACATTAGTCAGAATAATTTTCATTCAGTTAACAATATTCAGGTGGGAGAAAAATTATTTTAGTATTTATTAAATTTATTCTACTTGAAAATAAATATTTCAACATTAACTATGAAAAGAATATTTTTTTTTACTTTGAGAATACCATCATTATCATATTTGAAAAAAAAATGTATACAAAGATTTATTTAGCAAACAAATTAAATACTAGTTTCATACATTAGGATACTGGTTTCATATATTCATTTTGTGGACATTTAAAAACCAGTTAAAGTTTCTATAGTAATAAGCTACAAACATGTGGGGGGAAAATTGAACATATGAAGATACAGTTGGTACAAATTGAAATTTATAATGCAGAGAAATAAAAAATTCTAGAATGTAAATTATGTAAGAGTACTCACAACATCATCTCCAGCTATGCAAGTAAATGAACCACGAAAACCAAAATCTATCTTTTCAGTTTCTGAAAATGAAGTTTATAATTATTATTCAAATTCAATCTATTCATTCTTAATACAGTCTATACACAAAAACTTTCTTGGAAACACTTCACTGATAAATATTTCACACCAAAAGGTTTTTAAAACAAGCGACCTTTCTTTAATACATTCTACTAATATAAAATATTCTGCATCAAGTACAAAAATTAATAAAATATTAGACAAGCTTTTTAATTCTGAATAAAAGAGCATCAAACAAAAAGTGATCTGCTTAGTCTTTATATTTTTTTCAAAAATACATTTTGTTAAAATTTTGAAATAGCTGCTATGTTTTATTGATTTATATCCTCTTGAGATTCAAAGAAAAGTTTTATTGTTTTGTTGTGATTTAACTTTATAGTCATTCCTAACCAACTTTACCTCGGACTCAAAGCAGTGGGCAAAAAAGAGCCTGAACAATATGATGATTTTGCCACAAGAGAAACCAACCAGTAATTAAAGCATTTTCATCGACTTGTGGTATAATCTTAACTAAACTGATGAGGAAAAAAAAACTTGCCTATCTTCACTACAGGGTGGCTACTAAATACTGTAACACTTAAAAAAATTAATTTCAATCGTTAGGTAAAATAAATTCTAACTCGCTATTTCGATAGGCACTTTCTTTAAAAGTAGACGATTTTTGCTCAAAGCAAAACATTTAGAATAATTCTAAAGATGAAATCAAAAATGTTTATGGATAAATAGCTTTTTAATTGCAGATTTTCTGCAAGTAGAATCTTTACGTAATTAAAATCTCTTGGGTTTAATAGAACATTTATATAGAGAGCTATGAATTTATTATTGGATTCTAATAGCTGTAAAGATCGACCCAGGTCTGGTTGTCCATGCCTAGTTCATACAAAAAAGTACACTGAAAGAATTGGTGAAAAAATGCGAAGAAATCCACAGCGCTCTGCTAATAAAATGGTTACAGAAGAGAGAGGAAGAATTAGGCAAGTTATATTAAACAAGTTTTCATCCTTATTGCAAAACAAAAGTTCAAGATTTGACAACTCCACAAAAGATAAAAAGGTTACAAAGACGTAAGAAATTGCTAAACCGGCAAGGTAACAGAAGTGTTGACAGAATAATCTTTTCTGATGAGAAAATATACTGCGCAGAACAAAGTTATATTGCCAAAAATAATTTTTAGCAATTATTTTATATTAATATATATATTATAATTTTAATAAATTCAGCAACCTTCTATGATAAACCCGAAAGTGTAAGAACTATGCATTGCATTCAGAATAAGAATTCCACAATGGTTTGAGTTGCAGTGTCAAATAACGGAAGATTTCCTCTGAAATTCATCGATAAAGGGGCAAAAATCAAAACAAAAAGGAAGTATTGGCAACACATTTATTGCCCCATGCTGCCAGATTGTATCCCAAAAAGGATTGGATATTTCAGCAAGATTCTGCAAAATCCCACTGAGTCAAAACAACAAAGGCTTGGTTCCACGTCAATTGTCCGAAATTCCATTAAGCAAGAAGATTGGCCCCCTTCTTCACCAGATATAAACCCTTTAGACAATTGTGCCTAGGGTATTCTAGAGTCTAAAGCTAATGCTAAGCAGCACAGAATTGTGGATTCCCTCAGAGCTTCTTTATTGCTTAAATGGGAGATATTACCTCTTAAAATGATTCATGTTGCCATCAGACAGCGGCGTAAGAAATTGTAATCGATAAAAATGGTGGTCGATTCGACTCAAATTTCCTTCAAGGTAAACTTCTATTTATAGTGTTCATCATATTTGTGTATTTATCATTTTCTATATAATATCTGTACAACAAAATTATTTGCTGTTTAACAGTATTTTGTAACCACCCTGTAGGAATAGTATAAAATAATGCAGAGAATAGAATTAAATAACCCTCTTAAGAAGAATTTGTAAAGGCAAATACTTAATTGGCAAAGTATGAAAACTCCAAAAAAATTATGATTAAAGAGCAGTACTTGCAGACGCTTAAAAAATGCTAACAACATGTTTGAATGTAGCAACACTTTACATTAATCAACATGTTTTATGCTAACCCTACCAGATTGTATACCATGTGTAGTGTGTGTCTACCACTACAGAAGTACAATTCCAATTCCCTTGCAAATAAGACATATTAACTCTATTCAATGCCGAGGTACCTTTTCATAGATAAAGGTTGTCGACAACTACTCTCCCCACATTGGTGACCTTCAGACGTGATGTGAGCATGCCTAACTTGACAGAAACTCCCACTTTGATCTGAACACGCCTACTTCGAGGGATGGTCCACATCGAACAGTTGACATGCTACTTGTGACATTATCGACCGCCTCGCCCTGTTGCTACTCAGTCTCGATTACAAACAACATACAATGTATTCAGTCGACTGCTAAAAGCAACACAGGAGCGACCACTAGCTTAAAACAGCTCTCACGATCAGCACTCAAAAGTATGGTGATCTTAATACAGCTCTCCCGGCTTCTCACAAAACCGCAATGAATCAACTAGTGGTATCCGTTCATCAAATTCTATCACAAATATAATTCTGGTAGGGGAGTACTGTAGTGTGTTTACCACTACAAAAATACAATTCCAATTCCCCAGTATATAAGACATGTTAACTCGATTCTGTGGTGGGGTACCTTCTCATAGATGAAGGTAGACATTGTTGACCACTACTCTCCGCACACCATGCTTATCAATACTATACCAACATAGTTTTCCTTAATTTTGAGAGGAAAAATATTGATTCACAATAATATTGATTTACAAATATTTCAGAAGAAGCTCAGTGATATGTTAAGTAATTGATTATTAATGGTAAGTAATTAGTTATAACCCAGGTAGTAGAATTTATGGAATCAATCTGCAACACAATCAATATAAATTATGAGTTTTCTTCGAATGAGTCAGACAAAGACAATTATTGTAAACATCAGGATCAATCTAACATATATGTTAAGCAAAATCTGCAAAGAAAAGCTAAAAATTATGCTCAAAAAGTTTATCTTGTTAGAAATTTATGATAATCTATTTTGAACTTCATTCAATAATACTTTCAGAGTAACAGGAATGAATTCATTTGCAGTGCCTAAAGTACCGACAAAATAACTGCTTGGTTATAGGCTGTATAGGGATTGTATAAGACTTCTAAGTCTTTAAGATAATTAAGTTTTTTTTTAATGTCAAGGGATTTTTTTTTGAAGTTTTAGATTTTAAAAGTTTTAAAACATTTCATAAATTCTTTGAACATATTAAAGACGTAATCTCAACATGCTTTTCATCTTAGATGACAAATTATGCGCATAAAATTTATTTATCGGCAGCACCTGCTATAGCGTTGCAGTGTTTCTGCCACAAGTCCAATATATATAATCACCAAAATAGAGAATACAGTGTTGTATACAAAGTGTAAAATTAATTAGAAAAGTATAGGAATTAATTAAACATTTCTCATATTACTTAAGCATTCTCCAGAGCTCATTCTAGGCAGGGTAAACAGGGCGCAGCACCCTGCTGCCCTTTTAGTCAAAAGAATCCACCCTGTTGCCCCTGAAGTAAATTAATGCCCTGATGTAATATACTCCATACACTTTCTTTCCTCAACCCTTCTTTATTTTTCCACCAAACTCTACAATGGATTTCTTAAACCTTTCAACGCTTTTAATTTAGTTTGTCGTTATTGTCATTACATAGATTTATATGGGAAAGGAAAAATAGCCATCACACCCCCTTATTGCACTTATCTTTGAAAGTTTGCAGTTACTTCCACTATCATTAAATCATAATTATTAATCATTTTAATTATTAAATCATAACTACAGACACTTAAAATATATGCATGCATTTTAAATAAATTACTAAGATAATTAGCTCATTAACTCGATATATATATTAATAAAAATTAGTAATTAATATGATTGCTTTGCTACTTTTAGTAAAATTAAAAAAAAAAAATTCTTTTACAAATTGACGTTTTTTAATAGAACGTGTAAGGCCATAGAAAGAAATTATTGACTTTTTGGAATAATAATGCCCATTTTTTAAACTTTTGCTCCCTTCCCTTTTTTCTGCCTAGAATGAGCTCTGCATTCTCAAATGACAAGCATGTTATAAACACACACTAAAACATCAGACATATTAAATACAATCTTATAAGTATTACATAAGTTTATTTAACACAAAATTACATTTTATAAGTGACAAATAATGCAGATTTATACCGAATCATAACTTTCAGGTGACAGCTTTGTTACAAGTATACAGCCTGTTAGTAGTGTACTGAACAAACATATCCTGGGCACTTAATCTTAAAAAACATCAGTGTAGGTTAAATTACAAATATTAATAAAGCAAAAATACTGCAGATATATTTAAAATAATTTCTCACAGGCAACATTTCTGTTACAGCTTGGGGTAACAAAATAAGAAAATCTCCCCTGAAAGCTATAATTTTAAATCTTCAAAAGACATCACATAATCATTTCACTATGAATTAATCCAAACTTCATCACTATTTGTTTAATTCTCATTATACACCAATAATTTATGCAGAGAATTAGGATGACCGGATTCTCCATAATTTCAGCCAAAACAATTTTTTTTCTTTAGAAAACTTAATTTGCAACTTAAAATTTTGCTCCCTAAATTACTCAAATCAATACAACAAAAAATACCAAATATCAAGAAGTTTAAATCCAAATGCATTTATAAATTGCAATAAAACCACTCACGAAAACATTGAGCCCACCACATGAAAACAAAATATTAACGTCACAGAAAATTTATCCCAAGAACAAAATGCAGCAAAAAATATTACGTACTTAACTCCTTCCCGTTTGTGCAATAACAAATCTGTCATTACATCATCACAACTTCAATTACATCATCATCCACTTCAATGATCGCCACCTGCGACTTATATTTATAATTTCTCTAAGCCTACTTTCAAACTGAAACAAGATTATCAACAACTATTGGCCAACTAGGCAATAAAAAAATATTTTAAAAACAAGTACAGTTATTGTGGCGAGAGTAGTTACCGGGAATGTCGACAATGTCAATCTTCTTCTATGAAAAGGTACACCAACATAGAATCAAGTTAAGATGTCTCATATACTAGTGAATAGGAATTACATTTTTGTAGTGGTAGATACACTACAGTTATTTCTTTCAAAGAAGAATTAGTTTAAAAGATTTGAGCAATTGATTCAAATTCTTAAGATTTTATGATCAAACACATTTCAAATGGGCCTAACTTAGTAATGAGAAAACCAAGCATAGTTTGCAAGGCAAAACATATAAGACTGGTCTTTGAGAGCTTCAGCAAACAGGAGCTCACAAGTTTCACATAAAACTGTCAAGAAATAAAAATATTTATAATTGAAAAATTAAAAATATAATTAAATAATATAATTAAAAACTATAGTTATTAAAAATACTTGTCTAAAATATAATTAATTCTGCCTATCCTGATTTCATACACTGTTGATATTTACTCTACATTGCCAGAAACAGATATATAATGTTTTTTTTTTTCTCATTAAACCTTCTTTATTCTTAATGTTTCAAAAATAAACTAATATAAAAAAAAATTTAAAGCATGAAACAAATAAAAAATTATATATATTACAGGGTGCGTAGCTAGATTTTTCAACAAAAAATAAGCACTTTTTAACCCCTTCCTTCTCGCTCCCTTGAAAATGACGAGGTGAGATTTCGCCCGCTATTTCTCGCTCCCGTGATATTGACGGGCAGCGCCAATAAGAATAAAACTAATTCATTTCTTTTGAATGGAAAACATTTTACTTCTCATTTTACACACCTAATGGCAGTGCCAGGACATTTTTAAGGTAATTGTAGATAGATAGTTTATTTTAAACTAGTTGCAGCACTAATCAAATTTGTAATACAAATACAAAAAATAGGCACTTTTATGACCGTTTTCTTGAAAATTAACCGATTGTTAAGGGGTTGAGCACTCAAACAATATTTTTAATCACTTAAAAAAAAAAAATATCAGAATTAGGCCATCTGCAGTAAAATTTTTTTTTTCTACTTTTAAAGTTCTTAATTTATAAACTAAAAATCAATAAAATGCAAAAACATTTTAAAAAAACTCTACATAATCGTGATCAAATAACAAGTTTTGGATAAATATGGCAGAGAAACTCATGCTTTTTTTTTGTAATTTATGGTCATAATCAACATGCCACAGAAAAAATCTCCTTTTAAAATATAGAAAATGAAGTTTTATTTCACAAACCCCAAATGAAAAAAGCAGCTTTAAGGGCTTCTAAAATATGTAAATCGAAACTAAGCACCTTTAAGCAATTTTTAAAAACGCTACGCACCCTGTATTACTAAATATTTCAAATTTACCATTCCCAGTTGGTACAACTTGTAAAGCATATATCCATTCAATTAATTTTTCTCTTTCACTTTCTATTTGATCTAAAGCATCTAAAAGATCGAGAGTAGATATTGCAAAAAAAGCCATCACCAATCTAAAAAGAAAATAAATTTAATTTCACTTCAACCATAAGAAGGGTTAAGCTGGTTTAAACCCAAAGGTTTTTTTTATATTAAAAACAAGCACAGTTTTAAGAGTAAAAATCTTTTAAATTACTTAAATTTCTAATATTTACAAAACTATTCTTAGTTTAATATAACCAAATGAAAAATATTAAATTTTTTCATTTTTTTTTCTTTCATCTTGAGTTTAATTTCTAATGTCTGTTACTTTAAATGAATACACATATGATATGTAATTTTTAAAATTTTATGCGTTGTTGCTTTTCTACTAAAATATAATTATAAAATAATTAACGTAAGTAAATTTGATGATGATCAAGCCATGATGTCTCTGAAAATTCTGGTACTAGGTATTATCCCGTCGACCTAAACATTCTTAACACATTAAATTTATCAAATAATAATAACAAAAAAATGTAATTGTAAAACTATGTGATAAAAAGAATCAAAAAAGTAAAAACCTCTATGTTGTTTTTTAGAATTACACATTGAATTATTCTTGAATCTAACCATATATATTATTATAAATAATTTCAGCGGGCAAAAATCCTCGATAGCTTTAAAAACGCAAACAATTGCCAAGTACTCTCGTCCGTGCTAGACAAATCATAAATTTGAATAACTTTGCAGCGGAGTAAAAACAGTATATTACAATTCTGCTAAAGATGTTGAGTAGTCAAGGGTCATAAAGTAAATAAGATAAAATTTGCAGTTATCAATGCAGAAGCTACATTATGGCGATAATATCGAGTTTGCCGAAAATGGTTGAATGGTTAATCCCAAAGTACGACAATGGTTGATAGGTTAACACCAAAGTACAAAAATGGTCAAAGGGATAATTTCAAAGTGTGAAAAGGGTCAACAGGTTAATCCAAAAGTACGAAAAGGGTCGAAGGTATAATCCCAAAGTACCAAAATTCTTTAATACTGATCATCTTCATTTCCATGATCAGATGGGTTTTACAAAATTATTTAAAAAATGCAATTACAGAACAAGTTAAGGTCAAATGCTTCCTTATTTTATAATCTTCTTAATTATGATTGTAGGAACAGGGTATCTGCGACATTTTAGATTTTCAAATTCACGACTCATTCCTAGAATTTTTCATGACTTAACGAAGTTACTATTTCTCCGACAAAAACATAACAAGAAATTTAAAAAAGCATTATAATAACATAAATTGAAATGATAGGTATAACCAAAACAGTTCTACTCTGCATCTTCAGGGGTCTGTCCAGGCCAAATTTACTACCGTTTAGCGGTACCTTCACAAATTCAAACATGGAGAAACGGTAGTTTCACAAAATACTTTTTCATAAAAATATTTTTTTGTATCTCATAAGAAACGATAATACCATATTCTCGTGTTGATTTTTTATTATAATTTTCACAAATTATGCCTAAATTTTCACAAAATAGTTACCTCTCAGAAAAACCTAGACAGACCCCTGATCTTTATATTTATTGATTTTAAATTTAAAAAACAGAGTAAAGATAAAGTTGAAGCAATAAAATAGCTGAAAAAATAATAGCTGAGCAATTTTTTTTTTTTCTCCACAGAATTATATTCTAAAGATACTTTTCTTGTTCATCAGAAAGGAAAGAAATACTCCTGATTTTTCTGTTCTCATTTCTGAATAAAAAAAATTTGCCAATGACTGGCTTGCTTCAGCTAGAATTTTAAACTGATAAAATAAAATAAAATAAAAAATAATAATAATTCGGAAATCACAGAAGTTTAAAAGATACTTCGCTTTAGAAATGATGTTTTTTCTTTTTTTTTGTTGAAAGAACACCAAATTTTTTAAAGAACATGATAAAAACAATTTACATTTTAATAAAATATGACTGTGAGTGGGGATTTTATTACGAATTTAGATATTCGGAGCACCATGAAATGGGGAGGGGGTATTTTTAAATTCCATTTTAAAAATTAGATTTTTCAGCGACCTAAATCCATGACTTTCCATGATTTTTTTAAAGTGTTTTTCTGAAGTTTATTTTTAGATTTTTTTCACTTTTTTTTTGCCTAACAGCAGAAGCAAATTACTATTGTATGTATGCAGTTTTTTTTCATTAGTATTAACATTTTCAAAACGCAATGCTTATATGAATGAAGATAATTCAAAAATATTGGAAAAGTTTTAAAATTAAATTATCTTATAATAATTTGTTCAATGCTGCCTTATATATGGATAAGCTAAAGGCCTCATTGCGTTAAGAAAAATGATTTAAAAAAAAAAAGCATTCTATTCTTCATTGATCATTAGTACTAAAACTCAGGGATGCAGAAAAATTATTAAAATCTAATATTTCCGCAGTTTTGTTTACAGTTGAAATTTCTTTCAAAATAATAGTGTATTACAAATTAAATTTTGTAGAAATTATAGAAGCTTCTCTCAAAATAAATCATTATTAGAAATTAAAGTTCGTATATTGGAAATATTTTTTAATAATAATTTTTTTCTCAAAATTAATTGTAAAAATTTTGAATGTGGGAGATTTCTGTACCGTGATCATATACTCGCCAAGTTTTGGCATCTTCCGGGTATGGGACTCCAGAAACTAAAAAAAATTCACAGAAATGAACCAACTAGAAAGGTATAACTAGTAACCGGATCCAAGCACTAGCACTTCAGTTTTTTTTAAATTGCAAGTTTAATATCTATTTGGCATGTAGGCGGTTATAGTTGGCGTGACAGATCACGATACAGAAATATCACCTGTGAATGACTTAGCTTATGTGTTAAAAATAATTTAACTCAAAATATACTAACGACGTGCACTAAACGATTGCCCCTGAAATTCAGGGATCATTTTGGCACAGGTACTGATAAGGATATCTTCTCTAATCTCTTAAATTGGCTCATCCCATTTCAGAGGAAACACACAAAGAAGTAAATAAAAAACATCTATGCTTTATAAATTTATCCGTAAGCAACTTGGAAATAAAAACTGCTAATAATTAAGTAAAATGAGCACATGCTAACTGAAAAATGTAGTAAGGCAAGTTTTTCAAACAATTAACAAAACTTAAAGTTAATAAAATAAGAGACACTGCATGAGACATTTACCTGGTAGAATCTAAAAACTTATATCTTATTGGTAAGACTCCAAGAACACGGAGACTAAACTTGATATGCTTTTCTCTTAAAAATTCTGTTTCAGAAACTTTTTCCAATAATTGCAACCTTTTCATTAAAGTGGTTGTATTATGTAAACAGTCCTCAGATGCGTTAATATCTACCATTTTCTAAGCGATATTACTTTTGGAAATTCTTCAAAATAATCGTAATTTAATTAACAATAGGTAAAAAAATATCAAAAATCGTTTATTTACAATAGTTAATGTAATTAATAATCAATATTTAAGGTTTTGATTTGATGTTAATGTCGTTGATGTTTACGTATTCGACTATCCATTTTTACCTCACTAATGTGTCAGTTTTTTTTCCTGGAATGAGAAACAATTATAAATTTCAGCTTTATTTACACCGTACAAAATCGCTTATGTGATTGTATCTGCGTAAAGAGAAATGGGTCTTATTAATGAAATTCAGAAGAAAAAAAAAATTACAGAGGAAAATTACAGAATAAATTTTTTAATTGAAAATCTTGTTATTTTAAGATCATGGACAGGGGAATATGTTTTTAAATCACCATATATTTCTCAAAACTATTTTATCTGAATCTAAAAGCCTTGCGATCCCTTTAGCAGAGGATCAAATTTGCGATGGCATGTCTTCGGATCAATCTCAGGGATGTTTCCTAGGCCATCGACAATAGCCCTTTGTGCAGCTTTAGTGCGACATAAATAAACATACTAACCCGAATCTAACTAAGTTGCCTTATCAGCCACCTCCTCCCACATCTTGAGCCGGGATTCGTTTCCCCACACTAAAGGCTGGTTGTTTGGTCAGACTGCAGTTGATGACCTGATCACTAAAAGTACCTTTTTATTCAATTCGATAGTTGTGATTCGAAAAGAAGACGATCACGGATGCCCACACATGTGACTTACCATGTCAGCTTCAGCTTATCTTTTATAAGCAAAAAGCACGTTAAAGTTGAGCTAAGCTTTTCCACATATCTTAAAATGTTAATAAACGTAAGGTTAATTAAATACAACTTCTTATCACACAGCGAAATTAGTGAAATATAACACTTTCTTGTCTACATCTTTTAGTTAAATTAGACTTATTATTTGTTTATTTGTTTTATAATCACCGTGTTAGATTTTTGTTTTGCGTACATGGCTACTGTATGCACATATATAGTTTGTTCATGTCCTTCACTGTCTCTATGTTAAGTAAGAAGTATATAGAGAAAAGGATTAATGCAGAGGCGTATCTAAAGATAATGGTGACTAATTTAAATGATGAATTCAAAATAGAATGCAGAACTAATTTAATTTTTAAGAAAAGGGACAAATGTTTATTCTCGAAACAGATTCTAATTCGAATATTGAATTTAAATTATGAATGCAGTTTCAAATGGAGAAAGAGATTCCTTTATCAATTGTTCAATTTTTATAATCCACACTTTCGTTTAAAATTTGAACCCACTATTTTTACATCGGTACTCGAACCCATCGGTGCTTGAACCCACTATCATTTGAATAAGTTGTAGAATAAGCTCTTTTTTGTTTAAAACTTGAATCTACTATCTTTAAATCGGAACTTGAACCCAATCTCCTTTCATCGGCGCTTGAACCCACTATCATTCGATTAATTTTTATGATACTCTCTCTTTTGTTTAAAACTTAAATCCACTATCTTTACATCGGTACTCGATCCCACACTCCTATCATTGGTGCTTGAACCCACTAATAGTTGATTAATTTTTATAATAAACTCTCTTTTGCTTAAAACTTGAATCCGCTATCTTTAAATCGGTACTCAAACTCACACTCCTTTCATCGGTGCTAGAACATAATATCATTTTATTTATTTTTATAATCCACTCTCTGTTCCTTAAAACTTGAACCTACTGTCTTTACATTGGTACTCGAACCCACTCCTTTCATCGATGCTTGAACCCACCATCATTTGATTGATTTGTACAATCCAGTCTCTTTACATCGGTACTCGAACCTAAGTTATTTTAATCGGTACTTGAACCCAGGGCCGGATTTACGCATAAGCTAAATAAGCTGTAGCTTGGGGCCCCGAGATGACAAGGGCCCCCAGATCCTACTTCCCCCCTCTTTTTTTTAAAGTTTTATTCGGTGCTGGGGCCCTCAGAAGCCCAAAATGCATTTTTTTCTTTTTTGCATTGTCGGACATAATAAATATAAATAAATGACTAAATAAAACAAAAAATTTCGTTGGCATTAGTAGGGAACATATCACCTTTCAAGCAATTTGAGTATTAATAAATTATTTATAAATAAACAATTTTTTAGTTTAAAAGGTAAAAAAGTTTTTTTTTCCCATCATTCGATCATCAGACTATTTAATATCTGTTTCTAAAGATCAGAATTCCCTTTTATTTTACTTTAAAATTATACAAATGATATATTTAATGCTTTCATGTGATATGCAGCAGTTTTAAATAGCACTTTAAAATATCTAAAAAAGGACAGAAATTGTTAGCTCAGAAAAAAATTAACTAATACTTTTGAATAAGAATTTAAATAACTACACACGTTTGTTTTACTATCTCATTCTATATAGCATTATTTAGAGTAGACAGTTGCGTGTGGGTGTGATGATGACGTAATAAAAGAGGCATACAAAAAAGTTAAAATCCTCAATATTATATTTTTGAACTCCTCGAAAATGTAGTAAAAGAGGTATAAAAATTAACTGTTGCAAACAAATTAATATTAATTAAGAACGAAACAAAAATGATATCGAAATATGCTGAATCACTAATGAGACCGGAATGAAAGACATCGGAGCCTATTTGATTGTAATAGTATAACTAGAAGGTATTTCTAAAATTCTGAAATCTATCAGGCTTTAATTTTTTTTTTCTGTCACAAACTTTATCAGTAATTAAAAATAATAAATTCGTTAGATTTCAATATTGGTTGGTTTTTTTTGTTGATTAAATGTTAAAAATTAACAGATACTTGTCTTTTAAAACATTTAATTCTATAATGAGATAATTATTCTACAATTGTAATTATCTGAAACTAATTGCTAATTGATATAAAGCTTTAGTGTGTTCCATTGATATGTTGAATGCTCGTTTTGGCTGGATGCCCGGGACTGTTGCTCTTTCACATCCTAGCCACTATACACCATCAAGAGCAGAGCTGATGCTTTAAACTCGTATGACATTTATTCTCTCTGATATTTAATAGACACTTTAATAAATGCTTAAAAATATAAGCCAAAAATTTACATAAATAATGACATTTTTTTTCTTGCACAAAAATTTAACAAATGTACTTAAAATAATTAAAAAGAAAGCAAAAATAATGAAGAAATATTTTCAATATGAACATCAATTAAATAATATCAGCTAAAAAAATGGTCTTTTTATTTTTACAAACAGTATTAATATAACGGCCCTCACCTGCTCCAGGGACTGCTGGGTTGAGTTCAAAATGACAAGGCTACGGAGTTGAATATTAGTAGTCGTAAACTCGAAATTGGGTCGACTGTTCAACGACGGTTATAAACTAAACTAATAAATTTGGCCGGGATAGCCTGGTTGATAGGGCGTTGGACTCGTGTTAGTGAGAAGGGGAGTTTGAATCCAGCCGGCAGAAGAATACCCGTGTATAAAATGGTGACTGGTGCATGTTGAATCTGTCGGGGTCACAAATTACTCCAAGTTCTCATGACAAAGAAATACCCCTGGGTACTAATCTGGCAGTTCCCTTGTCTTCTGGATTGGTTTCAAAATTACAAGGCCACGAAGTTGAATATTAGTAGTCGTAACTCGAAATTGGGTCAGTTGTTCAACGGCAATAAAACTAGTAATCAAATTGTATTTTCTTGTTTTCTTTCTAATTTTCTTGTTTTCTTTCTAACTCTTAGCATATTTTCTACGCACTTTCAAAATTTCATGTTTCTAAGTCTTATAGATTTTGTAACGTAAAAAAAAAGCAATTAAGAAAAAAATTCGCGAAAAAATTATTAAAAATTGCAAATAGAATATATTCAAAACAAATCTAAAAAAAAAAAAAAACTTTGTTAAATATATAGTGGTCCAGCACGCCAAATTTTTACTCTATGCTTAAAATGTGTTTCTTTTGTAACTTTTTTCCCTCGTGCTCCTGACGTGACTCTGTCCCTTTTTCAGTCATTATTCGCTCTTTAACAAAGAAAAATTATTCTTATCACATATCGAACACTTTATTCGCTTTAAAATATTGAAAAGAAGTTAAAAAAAGTAATAAAAATTAAAATAAATAAATAAATAAAAATTATGCGATATTTATCCGTTTATTAGCTATTATTCGCTATTTCCCAAAGAAAAAATGATTTTTTTTTTAATATACAGAAACATTGATTCACGTTAAAATATCAAAAATACATTAAAAAATATAATATAAAAAAAAAGAAAAAATTTGAATATCTACTCTCGCAAGGTTTCGAACCCATGGCTTCGGGACAACAATTCTAACTTACAACAGAGCTTTGCCAACTGCGCCATGCTTCACTTGCTTGCCCCCGCGAATATTTAGCTTAAAACACCTCCTCCCGGTTAGTAAACAGAACATATTTTTGCCCATTGTGTGCTAACTAATTGGCCTATAAATAAATCCTTCGGTACAATTGTTTAATACATTAATCTCTAATTTTGGGCGGAGTTTGAAATTTATAGGTTAATATAATAGGGAGTTACAGGGTGTGATGTGTGTGTGCCTCCTGACATGACTTCTGTCCCTTTTTCAGCCATTATTCGTTCTTTAACAAAGAAAAAAAATTCTTATCACATATAGAACACTTTATTCGCTTTAAAATATTGAAAAGAAGTTAGAAAAAGTAATAAAAATTAAAATAAATAAATAAATAAAAATTATGCGAAATTTATCCGTTTATTAGCTATTATTCGCTATTTCCAAAGAAAAAGTAGTTTTTTTTTAATATACAGAAAACTTGATTCACGTTAAAATATCAAAAATACATTAAAAAAAATAATATAAAAAAAAAGAAAAAATTTGAATATCTACCCTCGCAAGGTTTCGAACCCATGGCCCCGGGACAACAATTCTAACTTACCACACAGCTTTGCCAACTGCGCCATGCTTCACATGCTTACCTCCGCGAATATGTAGCTTAAAACACCTCCTCCCGGTTAGTAAACAAAACATATTTTTGCCCATTGTGTGCCCACTAATTGGACTATAAATAAATCCTTCGGTACAATTGTTTAATACATTAATTTCTAATTTTGGGCGGAGTTTGAAATTTATAGGTTAATATAATAGGGAGTTTCGGGGTGTGATGTGTGAGTGCCTCCTGGCATGACTTCTGTCCCTTTTTCAGCCATTATTCGCTCT